TTTAAATTCACGATTTTAATTGGTCAATCAATCAACAATTGCGTGGGTTAAAATTTTGTGTTACCAGAACGGTCTCTCCTTGTAATCCCAAATAAAGAGTAGTAGTACCACAATAAGTCAATGGACCATAAAACTTATTTATCACTAATACAAATATAGAAAATAGACGAGAATTATAATTACAATGGTCATGATCAATAGCCCATTTTCAAAATATTTATTATATAAAATAATAAGCAAAGTCGAATATTTATTTCCTTTCTCGACCTGATATAAAATTAAATATTTTGACATTTAGCATTATAAATAAAAATGTCAAGCACGCAAAAGATTAACAATGGAACTTATCCAGTAAGAACGATATTGATAATTGGTAGAACTGGTAGTGGAAAGTCAACTTTGGCCAATGTGATTACCGGTAGCGATAGTTTTGAAGAGAGTGCAAGGTCCGTAAGCGTAACCAGGAATTATCAAATTGAAGATTATTTAATTGATGGAATATTGTATAGGGTTGTTGATACTGTAGGAATTGGAGATACAAGGTCGACAGAGTTGGAGGTTTTATTTCAATTAGTGGAGGCAGCCCATTGTATTAAATACGGGTTCAACCAACTTTTATTTGTTACTAACGGACGCTTCACAGAAACAGAAATCAAGGCGTATGATTTAATGAGAGCAGTTGTTTTTAATGAAGAAATTATTAAATATACTACAATTGTAAGAACAAATTTTCCTGAATTTGAAGAACCTGTCAAATGTCACGAAGACTGTGATAAAATGATCAAAGAGAATGGAAAACTTTCAAAAATAATCCAAGCATGTAACAGGATCATTCATGTGGATAATCCTCCATTAATTGGTATTTCTAAAGTAACAAATGAAGAAATCCGAAAAGAATCACGAACAACAATATTAGAGCATCTAAATAGTTGCAACGAAATTTATCTACCAAAAGATACAAAAGATTTGAATCAAAGCATTGATAATTATATAGCTGATGAAGAAAGTTTTCAAAAACAAATCGATGATCTCAATGAAAGGCTGCAAGAACTGCTAGTATAAATATCAAAAAAATTGATATGTATTTTTTTAAAAATTCAATTATTTTTAAATAAATAAAGAATTATTTTATAATACATAACAAAAACAAAGATTTTTTTGAAATGAGCCAATTTTAACGGTTGACTGATAAAATGATTATTAGACTTTGTACAGGTATGACGTATGACTGAAAGCTTTCCCTGCGGGGAGATGAATTCATCGTATATTTGCATATTTGTGATATATGTATTCTCCAACAACCGCAATAATTTTTTACTAAATTCTGATTGGACAATGGCAATTAATCATTGATTATTAAAATACTTGACATTGTTAATAAAATTATATATGTATATGCTAAATTAATGTATTTTAAAATATGACTCTTGAAAAATTTAATTACCAGCGAATGGTTTTGGGTTGCGGGCCAATGCTTGTTAGGGGTTTATTATTTATAATTATTAGTGACAAGTGCAAGTTGATCTTATCCAGCAAAACTGGTTGATGCTAAAAACAGTTTTATCGTTGATAAACATGTATGATTAATATATGACATATATATATAAATAATGGTTCAATTAAATTCAAAATCATCCAAAATAATGATTTTGTTATTAATTGCAAATTTGAGTATTTGTGTGTGTGTGTGTGTGTATATATATAATTAAATAGTAATGAAAAAAATTTAAAATATAAAAATACAAAATTAATTATTAAATATTGATTAAAATTAATGGAAATAATTATTTTAATAATATTAATGTTAGCAAATCTTAGATATATTAAGAAAAAAATGCTTTCCACAATGATTTAAATTTGTTTTATTTTAGTCATTATGACTATTCCTTAATATTTTTATAAAAAATATATTAATTAAAATGAATAATTTATAATTAAAAATTATAAATAAAATATATATTAATTTACCTGTATAATGTATCTTGAGTTACATGAATGTCATCAATCTCTGGCGCAAGTTCACTAAGAATTTCATATGCTTCTTTATGAAAAGCTAATTGAGCATTCACTAAATCTGATAAATTAAGAAGTGGTTCGGGCTATATATGCATATATAATTAGTAAAAATTTCAAAAGCTTTATATCATTTAATAATAATAAACATTAATTCATATATTTATTTATTTATTTATTTATTTATTACCATATTGAGAATACTTTTCATCAAAGTAGTTGCTTCTTCAACAGATGCTACAAACTGATCTTCAGCTTGCTCAACTTCTAACCTTGCTGCCTCAGATCGTTCAGGACGAGTTGATTTATAATTTGCTTTGGCAGTATCAAGTGCCAAACGAGTTGATCGGACATTTTTTCTAGCTTTCATGGCGAATTGTATACTTGTGTTTAATGTTGTATTAAATGGCTGTACGAACTTTTTACTAATAGTTTGGTCCATTTTAACACGTTCTTCGCCAATACGTTTTTGCATAGTACCAAATTTATCTAATGCAATTCCCAGCGGATCATTACTACCAAAAAGTAGTACACCTTCTGAAGCAACTCTTGATAATGCATGAGGTAAAGTTTTTGGTTGTTGTTGTAGTTGTTGTTGTTGTGACGATTGATGAGGTGTTGCAGTTGTAGCAGTCGCTGTTTCTAAAGATGCATATTCGGCTCTTTCTGCTGGAGATTGTGTTAATACTTTGGCATATTCACCTACATTGCGTGTAAATTCTACAACTGTATCTTGAAGTTGATTTGGATAGTCGTATGATGAATCAGTATAAATATTGGTGACATGAAGTAGGTTTGTGTGAATAGCGTGAAGTGCATCAACTTTCTGTTTAAGAGAAATGATAATTGAAAAATATTAAAAAATATATTAATAACAAATAAAGTTGAATATGAATGATAAGATATCATTGTTCAATCATTATTATTCATTTAATCAAAAATCAAAAGTTTACCCTTTCAAGTTCTAAATATTCTGCAGGAAGCTCTGTAACGTCCTCTGCTGTTCCAAGTTTTTCCGCTACTGCCTTTTTTGTTTGGATTTTATTATTATATATATATATGTGGCAATTTTAAGTTATTTTTTATGTTTCTGAAAAAAATATCTCATTTATATATAATTCTAGAATCTTGCCTGACGTATTTGACCAATGCTTTTATTAATTGAAGTGAATTTTGACGTAAACTTGTCCATGTTTTTCTTAAATTCGTGTATATATTAATTATATTAATATATATTATCAACACAAAATATCTTTATTATTATTATGTTGTACAACAAAGGTCATTCATCGAATATCAGAGAATAATAATATTAATAATATCCAGTTACTAGTACTAATATTTTTTGAATACTTGATCATTTTTTTTTAAAAAAAAAAACTTTTCATTTGTAATCAATTCTACATAAATACACAGTACAATTATTATCTTTTTTTTATTTGAGCAAAATGTCATTAGCATTAAGAGCTGCAACAACTTCCACAATTAAGCAAGTTAGTAACAATTCCAAAAAACCTCATATTCAAAAGGCAGTAATGACAATTGTAAGTTGTGCATATATAATTATGGATAACTTCAAGATAATGATCTTTAATATGCATATTATAATTATTAGACTCCACCAGCTATAAAAAGACTTCGTCAACTTCTTGAAGGTCCCGATCCCAAAATGATTCGAGTAGCTGTAAAAAATAAAGGATGTGCTGGGTTAGTGAAAATTTGATTTTCTCCTTTTTTAAAAACAATGATGTTTATATTTTTTTTTCTAGGTTAGTGAATTATTCCTAGTTTTGTCTTTTTAGCTTATCTTATGCATTAGAATATGCTAAAGAAAAGGGAAAATTTGATGAAGTAGTAACTCAAAATGGTAAATCTTATTATATAGTATATATATATATATATATATATCGATTATTAAGTATATTTTTTGTGTGCTTTATGTGTATAGGAGTTACTGTATTGATTGATTCTAAATCACTTTTTAAAATGCTCGGATCGGAAATGGATTATTTAGAAGATAAATTATCTTCTAAATTTGTTTTCAATAATCCGAATGTTAAAGAAAGTTGCGGGTGTGGGGAAAGCTTTTCAATATGAGGAAAAAGAAAAAGGAAAATATCAACTTGTATTGCAAAAACACGTCATTGTTAAACGCCATTTAGGGCACACAAAGAAAAAACGATTAAAAAATAAACAAGTTTTTAAACGAAAACGTGACAGTGAGCTTCGTGTCTTTTACTCACACAACGACATCACTCAGGTCAAGACAATAATAGTCTATTTTATTAATTCAAAAAAAAATATAAATAGGACGGCCGTCCCCGCATTTTTTTTTTTTCGTTTTTTTTTCGTAGAGAAATTCCTCTCAGGCCATTTCAGTGCACGGAACTCAACTTTCTACGACGTCCCCGACCATCTTCAAGCAATCAAGCTTACAGATGGTGAGCACATTCAAACCATTTATCATTATACAACGTTATACAAGATGGTCAAAAAATAAAATACCACTGCTCCGAGTGTTTCATAATAAAAATACATGATTAACCCCACGCAATTGTTGATTGACCAATCAAAATCGTGAATTTGATAACGTAAAAATAAACGTTAATATAAAACATTGATTCATTTTGTCAACAATCAC